ATCATGATGTATTAAGCTTAATGTTGACGCAACTCTGCCACAAGGTAAGCCAACTGGAGAAGGTTATTGGAGTGTTATCGTCGATTCGGAGAATACATGGCGATTTGTGTTCAATTATTATTGTCCGCACATAAACTTTTGACTCCGTTATGCGACATCCGGCGTTACCATCTTAATGAAATACAAACTCGTGTGGGCTACATGATCCACCTTGAGATACAGAAAATCAAGGACCACCACCTCAAAACCTCGTCTTAAAATTTATGAATTATTTTAGAGACCCCCTCATATGGAAATTATATATAATTAACCATCAAGTTAATTACATCCTTGTGCATACTTCCTTCATTTGAAATTAATTTGGCAGACCCCCCTCGTCCACCCTGAAGTACATATAATGCCCTTTTAATATCAGTTTTAAACCCTAGCTACTCACAGTCGTCTCTCTTTTCCTCTCAAATATCACCTCTATAGATCTCAAACCGGCGAAATTGTTTCCCGGAGTCACAACTCTCTCTTCGGTGGTCGGAATTCGATGGATTAACTACCGTTGGATTCTTCTCGTCTAACTCTATTTTTTTGTGGTAATTTCATTCAATTTAGAGCGCTGGATCTGTTTCTGCAATATTATTTTCAGTCGACGCATATTTCGACGATGGTGGGTCTTGCCGGAGGTGTATTTTGTGTTCCGCTAGTACGAATTTGACGGGCTACACACCGTTGGATTCCTCTCGTCGAGATCTATATATTGATGTTAATGTCGTTTATTTTTATACTGTCAGATTTATTTCTATAAACTTTTTTCATTTGTGAGCGTGGAACCTTGGGTGGTTAATGGCGGCTAGGGTTTTGGTAGGAGGCGATTGGGGTGAGTCATTGGTGATTTGGTTTAAAATTCGTAGTATGGCCCCTCTCTCTCTCTCTCTCTCTCTCTCTCTCTCTCTCTCTCTCTCTCTCTCTCTCTCTCTCTCTCTCTCTCTCTCTCTCTCTCTCTCTCTCGATCTCGATCTCTTAGTGTTTGTTTATTTTTGAGTCTTTTCACGTTTCTTCATTTTTTGTTGATTTGCGCTAAAATATTTTTTTTTGTTTTGATTTTACAATTGCAGCTTAATGAAAGCCATTGATCCTCTCCTTTAAGGTGTCAAAAATTTAGTTGAAGTTATATCTGCTTCAAGTTACAATGTTCAACAGACTATATACATTACTAGTAACACGTAGTTACATATGCATATATTTGTGTATTTTCGATTTGTATTTTATTGGTTTTGAGGTGATTTATAATATAAACATTGAAATTTGTAATTTTTTTGTTGTTGGGGTTTATGAATTTCTTTTGCATAAGCCAGTATTCGTGTGTATACATAATTGATCAACTAAAAATCTGGGATAAAAAAAAACAGAACATAACTACGAATTACTATAGTTTAGTACAGTTACATGTAGTTATTTTCAGTACAATAAACATATTGATTTAAAAAAAATTAAATAAAAAAATTAATAAAAATATATATAAATTAAGCAAAAAGGTTTATAAAAAAATAAAAAAAAATAAAAATAAAAAGAGAAAAATAATAATAAATAAATCAGCGAAAATGCTAAAAATGCAGGACCAAAAATGTTGCATGCAGTTTTGGCCGAAAATTGCATATAAGGGTAGTATAGTACTTTCACCTTTCTAGGGAGTATGTCAAATGATAATTTTAACTTGGGTTTATCTCTAGTATATTTGGTAGCTAGAAGTATGTAAAATAACCCCTAAAATTTATTATTGTAATTTGTTTGATTAAACTTAGTAATTAGAAGTGAAAGTTCATTTTTTGTTAATAATATCAAATATATATTAAAAATCATGCATACAAAAAAAAGGTTTTCATGTCATGTCAAAACTAAACCAATGACAATTTAAGTATACATATATTTCAACAATTATCATAGTCCTATATTAAAAGTAATACACTATAGGGACAATTTACTATAAGTCATTCTATGTTACATTTTATGTGAATAAATTCAATCAATATTTATTAAGTCCATTATTTTTATTGTTGCAAAAGTAACCTTAATTAATTCAAATCAAACCCCTCAAATGTCTGAACCAAATCAGATCCCTCAAAATTTCTGTACCAAATCAAATTTCCTTAAACCTCTCTTCTTCTAATTTTAATTAAAAAACAATACAAATCCGTATATATATATTTTTTTTCTCTATAAGATCTCTTTCACCTTTTGCTCCGAGTATACATCAATGAAAACGGTCACCGACTCGGGTTCGAAATGTCTAGTTCCGTGTTTTCAATGTCTCGAATTGTCTAGTTCCGCGTTTTAATGGACCACTAAAATTCTTTAACGGGTCGTCTACTTCGTTGGATCTATTTGTGGAAAATTTGAATTGGCTTAATAATTTCCACTATGTTGGATCTACTTGTGGAAAATTTGAACTATGAATTTTAATAATTTCCACTATATTGGATCTATTTCTATTTTGTCACTCGGCAATTTCTACTTTAAGGGAAAGGACAAAAAACATATCACTCTATATAATTCAATAAAATTTGGTTGTACATGGATGTAGTAAAAATAGTAATCACTAATCAATATAATTTTACAAGAGGTGAAATAATTTTGTAACACCTTTTTGAGCTAATAGTGTAAATAAAAAAAAGAAAGTTGTTTTGAACTTGGTTGCAAGTCAAGGGGAACTCAATACATCATCAATTAACGCGCCAAATCCCTATACTAGCTGCTAGGGGTGAGACTCGATTGGATGTGTCGATTATTGACTTCAAAATAGATCCACTCGATAAATCAATTTTGCTCAAATTTGAAAATCATTAACCGATCCACTATAGATGGATTAGTTGAATTTTTCAATCTGATCCAATAAATTGGTTAAAATTTTATTATCTACCAGAAAAATATGATCAGTAATTGATCGATTGCTGGATAAAAATCATTCCAGTCCCAGCGCTACTAGATGCTACAACGCTAATTCAAGTCCATTAATTAATTGAAGATTTTAACAAGGAATTTAAGATCTCGAAAAAAAATTATGCTATATAACTTGAGTAGGTCGGCCGAAACAGTTGAATAACAACAGAAAAAAAAAAATTCTTATAATTGAAACCCTCTATGCTATTTGGCTCATTTGATGAAAAATGATGTAATTAAATATGATATGGTTGTATTAAATATATGTTCATATATTACAACTACAAGTGATGGTTATTACTATTTTATATTTATATTTTAATAACATTTTTAGAATTTGTGATTTCCCAAAAACTTTCATGTATAATAATTAATGTTACCAAATAAATAGCTATGTCATACCATTTGTAATGTTGGAACATTGTTGTGGCGGACAAATTACGAGTTCAACGATATTATCAACATATAAATTAGTCGTAATTAGTAAATGTCAAAATTAATCTAATATACCAAATTCGGCCATTAGATACTACCAATTTACCAAATCTTAAATATTGGCCTAAAGCGTAGGACTATGGGTGCAAGTTGGAACGGAATTTCCAATTTTCGCCGGTTTCGATTCGAAAAGTTCCGATTTTGGAACATTTTTTTTTCATTCCGATTTCCGATTTTTTTCGATTTTTTTGGATTGGAATTGGAATTATATAAAATAAATTTGGAATTTTCGATTTCCGATCGGATTTAATTCCGAAATATATTCCAAAAAAATCCGATTCTTTTACGAAAAATACACCTATAAATAATATATATTATATAGTATTTATTTTCCAAAAAATGCACCTATAAGTTTTGTTTTAGGATTTTGACGTAATGAATTGTTGTTAGAAGTTTTATTGGATATTATGTTGTGTTTATTTTTATTTTATTTTTTTGAACTGAAATTTAGTAGTTATTAGTTTTACTTTTATCGACGTGCATGTTCTTATTTTTGAAAAATTATGAATATTTTAGAAAATTGCGGCTAAATTTTTGAATTTTAAAGCTTATGTGATTTCCGTTTTTTTTTGCGAAATTCGAAATTTCCGGGCCTTTTGGAATTGGAATGAATTTTTAGATTCCGAAAATTTTGGAATTGGAATTGGAATTGATTTTGTATAACTTCCAAATTTTTTTGGAAATTTTTCGAAAAGGCTAATTTCGATCCGATCCATCCGATTTTCACCCCTACGTAGGACGATAACTTAATAGTTAATACTCGATAAATTAATAATCTTAATTAAATAATATTTCTTTTCGATCTTGACTAGATAAAAACGTACTAAATTATTAGTTCGGTAATTAAATATTTCGCTAATTTAATAGAGTTTTGTTACGCCTGACTGTATTAGTTTACAGACATGCTATTTTGACCGTCAAAATATCTTATTTCACAACCAAAATAAATATATTTCATATTTTACCCATTTCTTCTTCTTTCACACACTCTGTACAAATTAAAAAATCTCCATCACCAAACTAATTAGTATTCGCAAAAAAACTCCACCATTTTCCACTAGAATCTTTACCACAAAATCGCCTCTCCACTTTAAGTTAACGATACCTTCCTCAGAGAAAAACATCCGAACGTCAAAAAGAACAAGTATTCACTTTCTTGGAAAAAATAAATTAAGAGCACTTGTATAGAGGAAAAAAATAATATTTTTTTTTCTTCAGTGGATTAAAATTTGAAAAATGGATTACTTTTTCATTCAGCGCAATCCGCCCAAAAACGGATTCCAATTGGACGATTATTATAATCTTGTTTTACCCTTTTAGTTTCAATTTTGGGAAGAATGAACCATCGACTAACTGTATAAAATTAAAAGTTCACAATTTTGTTGTGCGAAATCGGATGAAATTGCTATATTACATTAACACAAGTTAAACAATCTGCAAGTCATATGTAAAATAAAAAAGAAATAACTTAAAACATATAAGGATTACTGTATAAAGAATCTTGACTGTTGAATGATCATTTCAACCAAAAGGTTCGAAGCGGCCTTACACTTCAAATATTTGAAATGAGTGACTGTGGAATTTGAACTCATAACCTTTCATTTGTTCGGGCTCTGATACGATATTGAATGACCATCTCAACCTAAAGTTTAGTTGTTACTAAAATATTCATTTAATATACTAATATCTCCAATATTGAGCCATTTAATTTCATTTTAATTATTTATGCTTCGACTATGTTTCTTACCTTCATCTATAAATATCACAAAAAACCACCATACATTATTACACATTCCACCAAAAAAAAAAGAATTATGGGCAGTAATATTTTACTATTTGTTGCAACATTATTCCTCTTTGAACTGATATCAAATACCCAGGGAGGAATAGTAGTGTACTGGGGGCAAGACGAGAGAGAAGGTCTACTGAGAGACACGTGTTCAACTGGTTTGTACAAGATTGTAAACATAGGATTTCTGTCCACTTTTGGCAATGGCCAAAACCCTCAGCTCAACTTGGCCGGACACTGTGACCCCGCCGGCGGCGGCTGCCAGAAGCTCACGAACAGTATCAGGCAGTGCCAGAGCCAAGGTATTAAAGTCCTCCTCTCCATCGGCGGCGGCGATGGAAGCTACTCTCTCACGTCGCCGGAAGATGCCAGACACGTGGCGGACTACCTGTGGAACAATTTTCTTGGTGGAAATTCTAATTCCAGACCACTTGGTGATGCTATTTTGGATGGTAATATAAATATACTAAATTACTAATATTATTATTATTATTTTTAGGAGCCCTTTTTGTTATCTATAATTAATTATTGGGTAAATTACAACCACCCGATGTATGGTCAAATTATGAAAACTCCCCTCTTGTTTGGATAATTACAATCACCCCCTCAACTCCTCAAATTTGGTAGATCTTCGAGATTATATGGAATATTATCACTTTTGTCCCATTTTATCCCATTCGACTCTACATTCTAGACACAATGATCACAATATGTGTATTTTTATGGCTTGTATATATCAGATTGTGGTGCATCAGAAACTGTATTTTTACACAAAACGTATCAATCTAAGCACATTCCACGGATCTAGTGATTATGTGATTGACAGCCCAGTAGTATGAACCAGTCCGGCCACGTTTTTTTTTTTCTTTTTTCTTTGTTAACCGATTGGTTTTTTTTTTTTTTTCCTTTCCTTTTTTTGACATGTCAAATTTGTTTATTTTAATTTCTTTTTCTTTTGTATTTATTTAAGTATTATATCCTTATTTTATTTCATTTCATTTATTTAGTTACATAATTTAATATCCCATAATTTCAATAAAATCAACACTTTGTAAATAAATACTTTTATTTTTTTTCATTTCTTTC